AAAAAAAAACAATTTTATTTCTAGTATTTCTAGTATTTGTTCTGATAATTTTAAATTACCAGTCGCTATGTAGAACTTCCTTGTTGAGATTCGTAAAGTTTGAGGATTAAAAAGCCAGTTTTTCGAAACGAAATAAGACACTGACAGCATGGCGAAGTAGGTTTTTCTTGTCAATTTGCACAAACTTTGAAATAAAAGATCACATTTTAATCAATGCAACTCAACATTAGAAGGAACTTTAAAAACTAATATTGATGGTTTCCTACTTCGAACGTATTCGCAATAAATTAGTAAAGAAATTCGAGATTTTTTTGGGTAATATTATTTCACATTCATATTATTTCTGATTGCGTATAAGGCATTCAAGTACTCACATTGGTTTTTTCCCTGAAACCTTCAGCAATGCATCTACAATGACTGCCTCCAAAACATTCAGGAACACAAACTAATAAAATAAATATATATATATATATATATATATATATATATATATATGCATATATACAGCCAACTCTCCGTTAACAAGGTACTCTGGAAACCAGTTTCTTTACTACACGAAGCCGAAAATCCGACATTCCTCCGATAACACGGACTCTTTATTCCGTGCAACCTATAAACGATTCTAGTAACCAGATATGGTTTACAAAGATTTAACTAGTGGGGCGCGCATGGCATCGTGCCTTAAGGCAAATTGCTGGAACTTCCCGTACCAAATATTATTATTTTTTTTTTAAGATTAACATTTTTGAAAAAAAATTACTCTGAAAAATTAGATTTTTAAAAAACTATAAATTTTGACAAAAATTTACTTTTTTAAAAAAAAAAGACTTTTTGAAGAAAAGTGTATTTTGAAATATTTTGGAAATTCTGAACTTTTTTTTAAAACAATCGTACTGCTTTAACTGCATAGAGACGAATTATCGAAGCGCGTAAGCGCCGCGCTGCCGTCTAACGGATAAGCATTGGTACGGAACCTATTGGAATGTAAACAAAATTTATACTTATTGTTAAAACCTCTATAAAATCTGATAATTTGATGTGCATATGTTTAATGATCATTTTTGACCGCCTAATGGCATTTTTTTCTTTTTTACTTTTTTACTAGATCTCCGAAACCGCTAGACCTGCCTTCATGAAAATTTGATCATTTCTTCATCCTGTCAATACAAGTAAAATGTTTTTTCAATTATTCAAATCGGACGCTCCGTTCTCTTAAAACTGCGTTACCGTTTTTGGCACTTTTTGCCCCACATCTTCGGAAGGTTTCCTTATCAATACAAATCAAATCTTTTTTGAATTATCAAATCGCTTTATCCGTGTTCCTGAAATCGTCGACGAAAATTTGTATCTGTACACACATACATACACGCACACACACATACCACGCACACACACATTTATTTTTTCTAAGATATGCCAAAATATTTAGAAACCTCTGAAACGTAAAGATATATAAAAATTTTCATTTTCGATTTCTTTGCGATCTACGGGAAGTTAATATAAACTTTTTTACAATATGTTTATATAAATATGTCAGATTATATAATAGTGTACGACTTCGGATTAATTAACTAGTGATATGCCAATTTAACATCAATCTTTCTAAAAAAATCAGCTTGAAAAACTTTTTCCAAGATAAACAGTTTTTTAACTTCCCGAAGGAGAAGTTTATGTTTTTATCAAAAAATCCGATCCGCTAATTTTATGTTTTCTCGACGTTTCAAGTGATTCTGAATCGAATGAGACCAAATTTGGAAAAAGTATGCATTTGTATGTGTGTGTGTGTGTGCGAACAGATTTTTTGTCGTAAATCGACGATTTCTCTCAAAAACGGCTCGACCGATCAAAAATTTAAAAGCCATTCGATGTATTTCGATGAGGACTAGCGTTTCTCAGTTTTGTGCGTCGACCGACCAAGCCGTTTCTTTATAAATCGCAGGAAAGTGAAAAAATTTTCGTCTACGTTTTAGACCGCAATTCTGAATCGATTCTGAAAATTCAAAAACCGTTTGAAAGACATTGGTTGGGAATCGTGCTGATTAGTTTTTGGTAAAGATTGGCCGGGCCGTTTTCTTGTAATGAAGTTTAAAAAAAAAAAAAACTTCGACGAATTTTATGATTTTTTTCGATTTAGATATCATAGTCTTCTAGATCATACTAAAATATTACCGCTCTAGGACAACATTAGCTTTAAAATTCGTCAAAGTTTCCAAAAATTAGTGTCGTTTTTTTTTGACGTTTGTCAAAATTAGAATTTTTTTCGAAGTTTGCTCAAAAACGTCTGAACTGATTTCAATATTTTAAAAACCAATTGATGTATTTTGATGTGGATTATTGTTTTGATATGTTTTTTTCAGATTTTTGCAGCGCTCGGCCAAGTCACTTCTTTGTAATTTGGAAAAAAGTTTAAAACTTTTTGTCCACATTTAAGCTCATACTACCGAATCGATTTTAAAAAATCTAAAACTGTTCGAAAGGTATTAGTTGGGAATGATGCTGATTAGCTTTAGGTAAAAATCTATCGAGCCGTTTTCTTGTAATTAACTGTTAAGCCGATTTTATGGAACTTTTTTTGGCGATATATATCATGGTCTTAAGAACTTACTGAAATATTACGGCCCTACGACAAGTAGTTTAAGTTTTAAAAAATTGCCGTAGTTTACAGATAAAGGAGGGTTGGCTGTATATATATATTCTATTGTTTATTGTTATTGTTACCAGAATTCGAAACGTCATAAGACTTTTCACAAAATAACAAAATGGATACCACATGGTGCCATTAAACGGATAATTGCTAACTTCTGCAAGTGCCATGTCTCGGATTTCTGAATGAGTATAGTTCATGTACCTGTCCATGGTACAATTGTAGACTGGAAGAGTTTCTGTATCTCTGAAATAAAGGACAAATATATAATATATAATAATTAGGACAGCAGGATAGTGAGGACTTAGTATTGTTTTATTACCTTCTCGTTCCTTTTTGCCAAGCGGCAGTCACCATACCGTTTACAACAAGATCAACCGGCATATTGTCTAATATATGATCAGGATCTCCTTGCACAACTCTCAAAAATCCTGAAATTTCAAAATAAAGACAATAAATATATATCTTGGATGTGGGCTAATATTTTGAATATGTACCTTTTCCTGATGCTAATTCGAGGCCAATAGGTCCATTCAAATTGTCATTCCATCCTGGCAAAGGATCCTTCCACATGGAGATGACTGAAAATCATTTTGTTTAATTTATGCTATTTACGTTTATCTAGTGAATAGTTTGTATCTCACCAACTCCTGGTCGATATATAACCAAAGGCAGACGATGGCTGTAATCTTCAACGACATTCTCTGCCAAATGTTTGGTGTAAGTGTAAGTATTTTTCAAACCATTCAGACATCTGAAGATCAACCAGAATATAATTCATGTTCAACACATCTGGAATTAAACTCACTTTTCGGTTAAACAAGCCATTGTATAGTCGTCCTGGTATCCTTCTGCCAATCTGATGGCTTCTCTCCAATTTCCGTGATCCCTGTACACTTTTTCTTCGATGACATCTTTGTCGGTGTTGCAATAGACAGTTGACACATGGACACCAACCACCAAATTGGGCATCTCCAACATTAGTTCCATCAATTCACGGGTTCCTCGAGTGTTCATCAGGGTTGCCTGTTTTAGGGGATCGTCGAATCTAGTGAAAAATAAAATAAAACATATATGAGCTACTCCGAGTTCCAAATAGAGAAAATGTCCTTAAATTACTTTCTTTCGAGATTTGATGGATTTATTGACTATTTTATTACCTGACACTTGCTGCAGCATGAAAAACGACATGGCAGCCTAAAATTTTTTTCCTGTCTTCCTTATCTAGGCCCAATCGCAATTCGCTGACATCACCCGTGATGGCCTGGACTTTGTCCAAAGCCTTTGGATTGATTTGTCTTATTGTATCAAATAACTAAAACAGTGAAAGTATATTTCATTACTAACTATTATTATTATTTTAATTTATATTTACAATACCGGATTGTCCAGGATGGTTCTGACTCGTTCCTGTGGCTTCTGGTTTTTCTTACTTCTGACCAGGAGATAAATGGTATTTAATTCAGGACAGCATCGTAGGAGTTTCTCGATTAGGGCTTTTCCGATAAATCCTGGATGATAGGAATTGAGAAATAAAGCTGTTGACAAATTTATCCATTTTACTTACCGCTTCCTCCAGTTATGAAAATTTCCTTGCCACTAAAAAATTCAGGAATAGTTATATCAGTCATAATAAATCCAATCTAGATCACAATTGTCTAATTATCTTCCTGGTCGTCTTCTAATTTTCCTTCTGATCGTTTAGCGATCGGCCTAGAACTGTCTATTGCATTTTCCGATGCACAAATATTATATTATCGGACAAAAATTGTTTTTTCATAAATTTACAAACTAATTTGCTTTGCGATAACTGTTAATTTATTATTGTGCATTAATTTGGGTGACGACTAGACAACGGGAATATTGTTTTGAATTAGAAGTCATTGATGACCTCGAAGATTGCAATGAACTAGTAAATTATTATTTTAAAAGACAAATATTAGCTATTCAGAAAAATAAAATAGAAAATGAATTTGGAAGACCTAGTCTGTAATAATAAATATCCATGATTCATACATTTAAATAAAATTGCTAATTAACGTATAAATAAATACGGTAGATACATCAAACCAACATTTTTCAGTCTAACCATTTTTGTCAGACTGAGTGTTAGTTCCGCGGCTAATTTCTGGAACGGCTGGACCGATTTTGACGAGACTTTTATATTGGCAAGTAGGTGATGGTAATAAATTTGTACAATTCATATCCATATTTACTACTGGTTCTTCTGTTTTTTTTTGATAATTAATATATTTATTGAATTACTGAAAGAGAAGTTAATGTTTCTGCCAGAAAATATGACTCGTCTATACATTTAAATAACATTGGGGTTCTGATTGTATTATTGTAATAGACGTTCTGTAATATGTATAAATACGTAATGTAATAATATAAATACAAATGTAATAAATATAAATGCACATTAACATTTAATTTAATTTTCTGTCGGTTTGTCTATACGTCTCTTTATTTCGGTTAATCTTGGAAACGGCTGGACCGATTTTGGCTAGACTTTTATTGACAAGTAGTTGATGTAATAATTAGTAAATTTGTACAATTCATAGCTTTTATGGATTTGGTACTGTTACTTCTAATTATTTGTGTATTTATCTATTTGAAAATAAGAAATTGGAAACATTTCATACAATGCACAAAAAAATTCTGAACCCATTTTTAAAATTTAAATTAGTTTTTGACAAAGATTGTCCGGGTTTTCGTATTATAATATTATTGAAGGAAATATGTTTGTATTTGAAAAAAGAAATTGGAAAATTTTTGATACAAATTCACAAACAAATTCTGAACTCATTTTTAAAATTTAATTTTTTTTGACAAAGATAGTCCGGGTTTTTGTATTATAACATTATTGAATTAAATATGTTTATAAATTAATAATAAATAGTTATGAAGTAATAAATTGATTTATATTTGAAGAAAAAATACATCATTATAAAGTCGTAACAAATTTTACTAAAAACAACTAGAAAATAAATTTAATCTAATTTAATTTAATAAAATAAATGTTGTACTCTCGGTGTTATCACAAAAAATTAAATGTAGCCTATGAATAAATATTTTAGTGTGTAGTGCAGCACTTTCAACCTGAAAATAAAATATTATATCATTAATATATTTCTATGTAAAATTTGCTTCTAACTATAAATTTATAATATTTCTCACTACTAATGATTATTTTATTATGATAATTAGGTCAATTTAAAAGTAGTCATTCAAATTTAAAAAAAATATATAGTTTTGGCATTTATCTCATGTATTATAAATCGGGTGTTTGAAATTAGTCATTAGGTAAACTTTTGGTATTTATGTTTAGAAATTTGACTTAGCCATTTATTCACTTGGATGACAAAAATATTACTAATTTTATATTATATATTATTATATTACTAACAATTTATATTGGAATCTGGCAGTGGGCAAATCAATTTCTTCCCTCAATAAATATTTTGATGTTCCTATCCTTGCATTGACCATGTAGTCATACAAATCCAAACTAGAGGCATCGACAATATAATTATTCCTAAAATAAATAAATAAACTAAATAATAAAGAATGTATTGAATTTATATTTCATATATATTATCCTGCTCATTTGAGAATAGTCAATTTCAAGCATTTATAATGCGTTCTTGATACATTTTTTAACTAAAATATCTATTAAATGAATCAAACTCTTTCGTTTTTGTTGAAAGGTATGACTTATATCTCACTTGATTCTATGAAAACAAACTTATGCGAAAATATTTTTTTATTTTTTAAAATAAGTGATTAATTTAATTAAAATTATTTATTTCTATTACCTGTCGCTCGGTTTTAGTTCCTGATTCAAGTTTATAAAATTTTTGCATTTGAATTCCCAATTTCGTAAAATAAAGTACGACACGGAGGTGATGGCGTGGTATGACTTTCTTGTTAGCCTTCCTAATCTGAAAAGCATAAATATTTCAACAAATTGCATTTATTTATAATAAATAACTGTATTTTTTTGTAGAACCAATTTTTTGATAAAATAGAAATATTATGGTAAAAATGCTATATTATAGGTCTATCTTGGTATGAGTTGGTAGTAACAAAGTGTCAAAAAGTTATTCTATTTACTGTGCGATCAAACGTTTTATACATAAAACCTAACCTCCAAAAGGCATAAACATGCAATAACTATTTTATCATAAGCGCATCTCTCTGATAACACATACGTGAAATTAGGTTTTATATAAATATTTGACAGGTTCTTACTACCAATTCATATGAATATAGACCCGTAACATGATATTTCTATTTAAACAGAGAATTGGCTCATTAGTTAAAATTTAGCTATTGAAGTAGTAAATGCAATTGTTATTGTTGATTCTGTTCATATCATTATAGTCTTATCGAATGCATATATAATTCATTTTAAAATTCTTATCTAAAAAATAAAATATAAATAAAGACATATTTATATGAATAACAGGGTTTATACTCAAGGCAAATTTATGTTTTATTATTTTATTTTATTTAAAAATATATACTTACAGTGGTTTTTTTCCTAATGGTTTTAACACGCTATCGACCACAATGGCAACAAGAGCATTGTATAGCAAAAACTAAAATATAAATATAAATAAAATAAATTCTGATTAAATTGTAAATTATTGAAGCCGTATATGATTTAATAAAAATAAAGATATGTGTAATTTGCCAAATTTTAGTAAATGGAAAAATGCTGATAGAAGTTTTAACGATATTTAAATTCAATATATATTTAAATTTGTTTATTGTAGTCTTTTTTCTAGTTGAAGCGTTTTCTACGAATAATCAAAAAAAAATTAATTCATGTAAATCAGAGTTCGTCTGAATAATAACTATTGGTATATCGTGCCTTATGACAAATTGCCCGTACCAAAAATATTTTTTTTTAAAAAAGATTAAAATTTCTTTTAAACTTTGAAAAAATAGATTTTTGAGAAATTTTCAATTTTTGAAAATAATTAAACTTTTTGAAAAAAAGAGTTTTTAAAAAAAATGCTTTTTTTATTTTGAAATTTTGAACTTTTTTTGAAAGTAATCGCACTGCTTTAGCTTATCGATTGTTTTTTGAATAATTGAAATCGGTTGAACCGTGTTTCCGAAATCGTTTACGAAAATTTGTATCCGCACATACACACATACACACACACATACATCCATTTTTTCTAAGGTATGCCAAAATGTTCAAAAACCCCATTTTTTTTTCGATTTTTTGCGATTACAATAACTTACCCTACGGAAAGTTAAATATTCAGTTTTTGTTTCAACAAAATACATTTTTATTGCATTGAAAATATTAACTTCCAAGAAGTTTCAGAAACTTTAAATAAACTAAAAACGTAGATATAAAAATATACGGGACTGTTGAAATTGCGTTTTTGATAAGAAGTTTTGCAGCCTATGATGAAAACTTTACTGGGAAAATTATGAATAGATATGAAGTGAATATGAGAATAAAAGTTTCTTCAATAAAATGAGAGCAAAATATTTTGTATACCAAGAGATTTTTATATTTAGAGACCGATTGTGCTTCAAAACAGACCAATGTTATGGCAAGGCCATGTTATGAAGAACTTTCCATACTAAATATTGACAAAAGCCATGTGGTTGCTATACAGTCAGTCCTATTTCTCAGATTGTCAGATAGAAAACCTAACCTATAAACCGCGCGAACGTCAAAAAAACGATATTAGATAACAGGGTCTTTCTGACTCAGCTTCAAAACATACGAGTGACGTTGCAGTTTACGTGTGAAACTTCTGAATGCACAGCAAATACATGACATTTTGACAGTATTCAATATGATTTAGTAGCATAAAATATGGAAATTAGAGCGTAACATGGCCTTGCAATAACATTTTTCTCTTAAGCGAGAACCAGGAAATGTTGAATGTTGATTCGTGCTTTATCATTATTTTCATTTTACCTTGATCTTGAACAGCAATGCATTTTTGGTGAAATCACAAAATGGGTACCAAATTGTCCCATTATATGGATAATTCGAGATCATCTCCAGAGACACGTCCCTTACATGTTTGTGAGTGTGTCTCAAGAAACCTTCCATTGTGCAATTGTAGACAGGCAGATTTTCAATGTCTCTAAAATTTAGAAACCAGAAAACTTTTAGGTAAAAATAACTAGGAAATCTAACTTGATAGCTATTCGTCGAATGAACACCCTATTCTTTTCCACCTTAAGTATCTTTAGTATGTTTAGCTAATTATAAAATGAATGTAATTCATTATGGGAAAAATTGTTGGAAATAAGTATCAGACAAAATCTATGTTTTTACACTATTTTCATACAAAGAAAAATCAAATTCAGACATCGAACAATTATCAATATTGATTTATCCCATTGAAGTAGTACCACCAAATGCTCTGCAAAAATTTTTCACTATTTTTTTCTCAAATGAAAAGGATTTATCAATGTTCTGAATTAATTTAAATATTTCAACTATAAACCTTTTTACCTTTTTGTTCCTTTTTTCCATGTAGCAGCCACTAAACCGTTTATGACCAAATCAACTGGCATGTCGTCAACTATTTGTGCTGGATCGGCACGGATCACCCTTAGAAAACCTAAAAATAATAATAAAAATGAT